ATGAACATTCTGTAATTAGCTGTAAGCTACAACTTACAGTGTGTTTATTTTGTTTAGCAATGGATCAGGAAGATCCTTTGTGTAGTATTTTTGTAAGATCATTTCAATAGATACGTATATTTCACTGCAATGGTGTTGGTTAATCAGGTCCATATTGGTGGACATCGAGTTTGCATAAACAATGCTGCAATAAACATAAATAACTTCTTTGTATTTGTACATGTTTGCTTAGGAACAATGCCTGTACATAGAATTGGATTACCAAAGTATGTCTATGATTTCAATGTCAAATTGCCACCCAGGAGGATTTTAATTGCACTTTACATTATTTTTAACAGTGTGTTATATGAATGCCTGTCTTTATGAACTTTCAATAATACTGAGTACTCTCTTTCTGCAGCTTTATGGATGCATTTTTATTTGTATTTTAGGTAAAATGAATAAGCTCAAAATGTTCTATAGGGCCTATGACCATTATTTTTTCATATCTTATACTCCTTGTTTGTGCCTTTTGCTCATATAACATGTTTGATTTTCAGGAAAATAGCTGCATGTAGATGATGTACCTCCTTATCTTATATGAGTGAAGTCACTGTACTTCAGGCTTTCATCCCTGTGTCTGCCATCCAATTCAGCTAGTTTAGTGAAATCCTTTTTCTCCAGGTTACCTACAACTTCTATCTGACTTGGCTAGAAAGTTCAGGTTCCAGTGACCTAAACTCCATGGAGTTTATTTTGTTAGAGTGGCTTGTGGAACTTTTAGTTTAGTTTAGTTTTGTTTTGTTTTGTCTTTTTCATTTTTATCGGTACCAGGGATCGAACTCACGGCCGCACACTTGCAAGGCAGGCGCTTATGCCGCTGAGCTAAATCCCCAGCCCCTGGCTTGTGGAACTTTTAAAAAATGACTGACTTACCATTGCCAATTTATTGCAAAAATACTTTTAAAAATACAAATAAAGCTCCCAACAAAGAGACAGAGCTGTGTCACCTTCCTGACATGCACATGTACTCTTTTATGTGCCAACATGAAAGCTCCCAGAATCCTGAATTTCAAGATTCTTTTTAAATTGAGGCTACATCATGCACACAATGTGTATTATTAACTCAAACTCAAGCCCCTCCCCCTTCCTGGAAGATAGGGTTGTGGACAGGGGTCAGAAAACTTGAGACTTGTTACGGGTTTTTCTGGTTAACAACCTTCATCCAGAGACACATAACGAGTGACCCTGTTAGATAAAAAGGTATTCCAACAGTAAGTTTCAACAGGAAGTCCCCAAGGTCTCTGTTGGGACTTAGTGTTCAAAGGGTAAATATCGGAACAAGAGATTCTCCTACTACTGGTGTTGCTCAGAAAATTGTAAGACTTTTAGAAGCACTGTGTCAGGAAGTGGGCATAAATGTATATAAAATATATATTCCTTCTAATCACAATACCACAATTCCTAAATTTAAATACCTACATACCTGTATGAGCGTATGTATATATACACACAAGTGAAAGACATAATGTGATACATCATGTCTTGGTGTTTTCCCAGCACCATTTTATAATATAGTATTTCCGAGCTGCATTATCATGACACATACAGGCAGTGGATGTTGTTATGTGTAATTTGTCACTAAAAGTAGCACACAAATTTGAGTATAATTTACTTTATAATTCAAACTAAAGCCATGATCAATGAGTTCTGTCTTACATGTTGTATTGCCTTGTGCCTTTTGATTGTGAGCATTTGCATGTGTCTATGTATAGAAAATATCTATGTGTTTTTTATGTTCCTATATTTTGTAGTAGGAAAATGTATTGATTAGGTGTTGGGACAGACGCTGCTTACTCTGCATCCATTCAGCAGAGCTCCTGTTTCTGAGCTCTAGTGAGAAATAGCACCAGTTTAATAGGAAAACATATAAAATTAGCCAGAAATGGATCCCACACTCTAGAAAAGGTTGCATAAGCTTTACTGGGTATTTATCTTAGGTGTGATTGCTGCAATCCAGAAACATCTGTTTAGAGGGAGAAAGATCTTTTGCAAATGAAAAAGGGACCAAGAAATGGAGAAAAGGAGAGGAAGTAAAGAGAATTAAGTTGTGCTGTGTGCATTTATTAATTTTCCATGAGGAGAATAATCATTATGTACTGCAAACATGTACTGCTAAAATTTTAAGGTAAAAAAATACAAAAGGGCCAGGAATTTAAGTCAGCAGCATAAGCACCTGCCTTGCAAGTACGGGGTCATGAGTTTGATCCCCAGTATAGGAAAAAAAAAAAAAAAAGGCCCTCTTCAGTCCCGGTCCTGATGAGGGTGGGGTTTTTGTATGACTTTTTTGCTTTTTAATGAATGCAAACTTTATTATCTTGTGTATGTGCTTTTATTACTCAGCACGTTCCTTGTTTTTTTTTTTCTTCCAAACTATGACATGCGTCCAAAAATGCCAACAGATGTATGAGATGTTTATGTATCTTTTTTGCCCAGTTCAAAGAGTTTGTACAAGGAGTGACTATTGATGTAATGCTTGTTTGTAGAAAATACTGACTTTTTTTTTTTTTTTTTTTTTTTTTTTGGGGCTTTTTCGTTTTTACCGGTACCGGGGATTGAACTCACGACTGCCTGCTTGCAAGGCAGGCACTTATGCCGCTGAGCTAAATCCCCAGCCCCTGACATATTTTCAAAGACAAGGAAATACTGATGAACATCTTTTTTTTCTTCATTTTGATCTTCATTTTCTTAACCACCATCTTCCTAAAACAATAATCATTGAAACAGAGGATTTCACTAAACATATTACCTCCCAACAACCATGCCTCACTAATATGTATGCCTCATTGGCGTATGTATCTAACTCTGAATTTTATATAGTCTCATGAGGATTGTCTTTTCCTCATTGTTTGTCAGCTGACTAAATCATCATAATAGAAAGCCAGGCCTTTGTATGATGGTATGTTATTTTCTCCCAGAAAAAAAAAAATTCTATGTGTTCACTTTATATCTTAGAGATCTGAGATTCATTTTCTTTGAAGATCTGATCCACTGAGCAACAAAGGACCACTGTCTTTGGAATAGGATGCATGGTTTTTAAGTCTTTAAATTATTGTTTGGCCAATGAACTACACATGAAGATTTTACTACCACATTTACTGTGACATTGATAAATGAACTAATTTTTCTTCTTGTCCCTTAAAACTATTCAGTAGAAGAAATTCAAAACCCTTTTTAATCCTAGTATATAACACTTTTACATATTCTATATCAAGTTTACATATTTCATCTTTCATTTATTGTTTTCTACATTTTTGTATACAGTTTTCCAGTGACAGTTTAAATAATAACCATGCTTTCGAGGTTAGGTGTATAACAAAAGTTATTCTTTGTGTTTTCTGAGTCTTTATTGTATACTTTTGCATGTATGAGAGATAGAAAATATAGACAATAGGTAACATTTTTATAAACTTAGAGCCACTTTATATGTATCGGCTCAGATAAACCAATAATCTTTCAAATAGCTTTTAAAAATCAATAGACTTAATTTAGAGCAGTTCGGGATTTATTAAAAAAAACTTTATTAAAAAAAGAATTTCCATGTATTGCCACACCCTTCTACCACCTTAGACATGGCCTCCCCTATTACGATCAACTTGCATTAGTGTTTTATGGGTTACAACTGATGACTCAATTAAAGTCCATAGTTTATGTTAATTCTCAGTCTTACTGTTGGACATTCTGTGGTTTAGACCAATGTTTAATGAAATGTGTCCACCATTATGGTGTCCTGCAGAATGTTTCTCTGCCCTAACAGTCTCCCGTGTTCCACCTATCTTCTTTTTTGTTATAAATAAAATTTCAGCCAAGAGATGAGATAATTTTCCATGAGTCACAAGCTTAAACAAGTGTGGGAACTGCTCAGCCTATCTAGAATTTGTGCTCCAAATCATACACTAGACTGCTGGATTCTCTATCACTGTTAAATTGTTGAGGGAAATGCTCACTTGGCCAGATTCTTGGTAACTGTTACTGAATGTTATGAAAGAATATGGATAGGAAACACTTTGCTGTGCTTTCTTTTCTTTTTGAATTTAAAGTGTGAGAAGTATTGCAGACTGTCTTATAATTTCAATCACTGGATATTCAATGAGACTTGTAAATTGAAGAATTACTAGATGGACTATTGAATCAATGAAGAAATGCAAGTCTCTGATCTGATCATTTGGTTATCACCAGCTTCGAGTCCCTACCAGTTAGGACAATGAGTCGATGAAAAATGCACTAACAAAGTGATTTTTTTCAAAGATAGAACAAAAAATAAGAGAGTATGGAGAAATGAGCCCAAATTGCATAAAATGTAGTACATTAGGTTAATTATAAAACTTTAACGCTTAAAAAAAAAAAGATTGCCATGAGATTAGTTTTAAAAATGCATGTGGAGAAAGAAATAAGTTTATAAAGTAAGGCATATATAAATTAGAAGACATAAGCAGATGAGGTCATTGTTTTTTGCCATTGGCTGTGACTTCTGATTACCACCCGGTACCTTCCTACTGGATTTTCAGTCCAGCCGTGCTAGACAATGTGTGCTTAAGAAAAAGTGGTGTCAAAAGCTACATTAACTATATTTTTAATGTGAGAAAACAAGGAATGAAGAACAAACAAATTGAAGGGAACAAGTAAGATAAAAAGGACACCAAAATGTTCATTTCTTTAAAGTCAACTAATTCTTTTATTTTCTATGAAACTAATCTTTAAGCTTTTGTCCACTTCCTGTCTCTTTTTTAAATCCCTTTGTTGGGCTTACATCTTCTGTTCTTCTCTGGATGTTTTCCAAGATTCTGACCTCAGCCTTTGCTCTCAACATACTCTTCTTGATCATCCTTATTTACATAACCGCAAAACACATTTTTCTAATAATGGTTACCCACAGATCTTACTATGTTTCATTTGTGCCTAAGAGGTGAAGAAGTCTTCATGATCTTTTGCTGAATGATCCATTGTCTCTGTTTTTTAAGGGCCGTAAGAGCGAGGCTGAAAAGTTCTTCTTGAAGGCCATTGAGTTGGATCCCACCAAAGGAAACTGTTACATGCATTATGGTGAGTGGCCGATAGCTTTTCCCATGTCCCTGATATTTGCTATTAATGTTCACATGAGACCATTTTGATGGTAAAGGACATTTTGAGAGGCAAGTGACTTTGTTGTTGCAGGTTTCTTACTTCCCATTCAAAACAGTCACAGTGAAGAGCTTTGCATTATATTTTTCTGCAGTAGTTTTCATAGTGATTCAGAGAGGAAGGCAATTTCACAGTTGCTTCTTTCAAGTTCAGTGTGGAGTTTAAATGAGATCTCATCAGGAAAGCCTTAGCTCTTTGCCTGACACATAGTTTATAATAAAACTATTAGCTTCCTTTTCATTCTAAATGATAATGTATTGCTCACTGAGCATGCCTTTTGGAATTTTATATCTTGGCTTGAAAATCTCACTTTCTGGACGATATGGGTGTATACTAGCCTTATAAATGCTTATGAGTGAGTCAAGAATAAGCTGAAAAGGATGCTTATCTCATTTTGTCTAGCTTTGGCCCTAATCAGTCCAAAATAAGCATACATAACAACTCTGTCACATTTCACTCTATCATTAGTAGTGAGTTAAGTGTTTAGTGAAGCAAAGTATATAGCTGGCTTGATACTGGGTAAGATGTACTTATTCCTAGCAGATCTGCCCTTGAAATGGCTTTTAAGAACCCAGCATTTATTTCTCTGATTTGATGTGTTAGTTATTATCTAGTAGTAAACTTAAAAGTGAATGGAAATTAAACCTTAAGGAAATAGAGCTAACATGCTTGTATAATATTTAATTTCTTCTCCCACTTTCCAGCAAGTAAAAATAAATCAGTGGCAGGCTGCAATTGTAGAAGAATGGAAATAATAAAATAGAGGAAACACTTAACAAACCACAAGTGCATTTTTAAATTTACATTATTGTTTATGTGTGTCCATAAAACTAGGATTGTGATGCTTTATCTTTGCCGCACAATGCAGAATGTAATTTCATATAACGTATGACATAAGTATTCCAGACCTTATTTTACAGTATAGTTTTATTGCTACTTTAAGATAGCAGTCAACTAATTAATTTTGCTGCAAAATTTACTTTTAATTTTACTGGTTTTCTATATGAAATATTTTAAATTATAAATTTTTCTGGACTATTATTTCGTGTATCCCTCCACATAAAAATAGTTCCATAATTATTTTCCCTGAGCACTAAAAGGCTATTTGCTATTGCTTTTTAAGAAATAGGATTTAATTATGTCTTTCCCCTGTGGTTCCTTTGCTCCAGACTAATTTTATTTATTGGATTTTTAAGCTTATTTCCAATGGTATTATTATATAGTATATAGATATTTTCACAATTAAGTTTTTTAAACTTCATTGGTTCATTTGAATTGTATTTGTTAAAAAGTTGTCGTTAAGACTTATTACTGTTATTCTACTTTGCCCATCTTTATCTACATTTGTAAATGATTATTATTTTTATGGTAAATCGTGTTCTTGAATTGTATTTTTTGAGAATTTTTATTTAACTTAGTTAAGCAGGAGGTACAAGAAAACTTTTCATTTTATATTATTTGGAAAATAGTGATAATACATGTCTCTAAATGCATGTGTAAAAATTGATTCTCCCTAGTACTCTTGAATTGTAAATTTTTTGACATATATCTATATATTATTAGAAATAAATTTATTTTCTCAGGCAAGAATGGCTTCATAGTTCAATCTAATTTTGTGAAATATAATTTTATGAAATTGTATAACATTCAGTATTTTTCCTATTTTGCAATGATAAATGGAAAATACTCAAAATGAGACAACAGGGGCCTAAGCACCTGCCTTGGCAAACGCAAGGTTGTGAGTTCGATCCTTGGTACCACAAATAAATAATAATTTTTAAAAAATGAAGCATCTAAAATGAGAGTGACTAAGACAAATAGTCTACAAATAGGCCCATTACTGAGTACTTGGTATTTCTCTCCTACTTTTTTCAGATTAGAAAACAATATATACTTAAAAAATTTTAATTATTTCTATTTGGAAGAGTCTATTTCAAATAAAATTATTTTCAATCAGTATACAATCAGTATAAGGACTCTGTTGTACCAACAGTAGCCTGAATTGTGCCTAGGGAAATGAAAATGATTGGAGCAAATTATTGTAATTGAACAAATTCTGGCTCCTTTAACTACTTTCTGTAAAATATCTAAGATGTATGCTGTGCTTTGTTTTACAATCTTGGAAGGCTGTACATTGTGATCAGAGTCACTGATGTGTGCAATATTAGTTTCATGACACAGTTAAAATTTCTTAAAGAAGGGTTTTGTATTAGTTAGCTTTCTGTGGCTAAAACAAAATGCCTGATATCTAATTTAAAGGGGGAAAGATTGATTTTGGCTCACTGTTTCAGGGATTTCAGTTTGTGATCAGCTGGCTCCAAGATAAAAATGGCACAGAGAAAGGTTCTAGGGAAAATCTCAGTTCATGCATCCTGGCAAGGAGGGAAAGAAGGAGGGAGAAAGGGAGGAGAGAAAGAGAGAAAAGCAGAGAGATAGAGAGGAGAGTCAGAAGGGAGAGGAAGAGGAAGGAGGCAGAAGAGAGACAGCTTAGAAACTGGAATAGTCTCTTCCCTCCCATGCTCCCAGTGACCCATCTCCTCCAACAAAGCCCCAGCCCCCAACAGCACTTTCAACTGAATTTATCAGCAGAATAATTAATTCACTAATGAGTTTAGCACCTGTGCAATTCAGTCACCTTCCAAAAGCCTTCCCTCTAACAAATGAGATTTTGGAGGAATATTTTATCTCTAAACCATAACAGGTTTCTATTTTAATACTTTTAAGAAGGGTCCACTAAGTTTAAGATAATATTTACAAGATAAGGTTCACTGACTTGCTTCTCGGGAAGTTAGTAGTGCTCTCTAGGAAACAAACCAGAGGAAGTTGTCTTTAGAAGGTAATGAGCTGGAAAGTGGAACACTTCTCAAGTAAAGGATCTCTGAGTGTGTGATGTTTGAAATCTCTGCACTTTAGCCAAATGTTTGAAGAGCCAGGTTCAGACAAAAAACAAGAGAAAACACAGGGTCTGCTCACAGTAGAGAAGCAAGGCTCATGGGAATGGGTCGTACTGACCCAGATGGTAAAGTGAGGGTTTATAAGGCTGCACACGAAGCAGAAGTAAAGCCCATAATGCTTTGCAGACCAAGCTATGGCATTTGCATTTTACTCTAAGAGTGGTGAAGACAAGATTATACAAGGTCAGAAAAGAAAAAGGGACTTCTTCAGAGAGCTCTCACCATGATTTAGACAGATAATGGAGGCTTCCACTAGGGAGTGGGTGTAGGAAATAAATATTTATATTGAAATTACACCTTACCTTCTTTAGAAGATTCTAAATTAAGAATTGGGAGGGGCTGGTCTCCATTTTTATACCCTCATTGTCTAGAGTATTGCCCTATAGTAATGTGCAATAAATGTTTATTGAACTCAGGAATATACTTCATTCTCTAAATTCTGATATACAAAACATACTGAAAGAATGTTCCATTTGAATTTTTATTATTTCTTGCCCATGAAAATACATATTCTGATCCTCCTATCGGTTCATTGCCAACTTACTGGTTATATATATTCTTATTGTTTATACTCACAGATTGAATGAGTAAAAACACTTCCTCAGCTTAAAAATAAATATTTAAATGAAATATATGTGTTTTGAGTCTTTTTAAAATTCTTTCGCAAATGCCAAGGAAAATGCCAGAGTGAGTGAATTTTGTTTTATGGGAATTTCCTTCTCTTGGGTGATTATGTGCTTTTGGTTTGCTTGTTAATAGTACAAGTGATTTGGAAAATACTATCCTTTGGGGACTAGACAGAGCGAATTATAGGAATTTATACTTGCTGCAACAGTGATTAGAAGACGATATTTAAAATGCTATCAGTTACTTTTACTTTGAATTGGCTGGTTTTGCATTTGGGAAAAAGATTGCATTCAGAATGTCTTTTTATTTTCCTTCAGGTTGGTTGCAAGTTTGGTTCTGAGTCAGTTAAGTGTTAGCCTCTGGTCCCCAGAGCTGCTGGAGGAGAAATAGAGTCTCTGGAATTCAGATTATTTGTCTTTAAGTTTAAAAGTTTGATGTGCAGTTCCAAAATATTTTCCAGTATTCAGATTTCGTGTTAGCTCAGTGTTTGCCCTTCTTTTATCAAAAGTTTTCAGGAATGTGTAGAAAATAGTTTTCAAACAATGCTATCAGTAATAGCAGGATGTGATATCCATGTGTTGTTAGACTTACAGTATGATCCCAGGACTATGTGATACAAGTCATGTAAGTTGTAATGGAATTTGGCTTCTCAGTCTTAATACGAAATTGGTATCTGCATGTCTGTTGAGGGCTTTTGATTTAAGGTGTTGTCTGTGGATTGCTCTGTCTTCCAATGGGAAAGGATAATTGTGATCGAAACAGGCGCCTCCTTTCAAACATTCCAGAAACAGCATTTAGGTAAATAGAACATATTGTAATCTGTAGGTGCATAGCAGTTAAGTTTGGTCTAGATTGAAACAATTTAATGATAAGTATTTATTACTTGGTATTAAGTGTACTGCTTCTTACAGGATGAGACTTTCTTCAGTATTAAGTATAAAATGTTGAAAGGAAGATGCGGATAAAGAGAAGGGCTCTTTTGTGTGGACTTTGAACAATCTCTTTTTCTCTCAGCTACCTCTTAACTAAGAGTAAAACGTGTGACTCCACGTCCTTTATTATTGACACTCTCTGGGATGTGCTATTCAGCATTGAGCCTTGATGTCACTCCACCTCCGTGGTTACTGAGCATCCTACTAAATGCCAGGACACAGGCTGCGCACAGCTCACAGGAAGTGCAAAGACACAAACTGTAATAATTCTGGTTACTTCAAAAAGGAGAAATAAATACTGAAGGGCCTTGATCTGGGGGATTCTGATGCAGGGAAACTATACCTGATGAGGTAATTACCTTTTGTGTGAATAATAAGGGGATGGGGGACATCACAAGACAAAAGTGCA